GGGTCAACGATTTTTGATGAATTGGGGTAAAAAAAAAAAAAAATTGGACACTAAAAGGCATGTTTTTCGTCATTTTTGATCCTTTATTCCCAAAAATTTAGTTGTTTCCCCTTACAAATCATCTATTTTTTCCCAATTCAGTAAAAAAAAATGTGCTTCGATCAAACATACCTCCCTTCTTGGGTGGGAGGGATCAATGACGAGGGGCGGGGGAAATGATTTTAAAGAAAATATACATTATATCAAAATATACACCCCTGCAAGAATTAACAGATATATAATCAGGATTACCCAGCTATTGACCCAGCATGGAGCGAGGATTAAGACTTATGAGAATTCAAATCTGCCCGTGAACATCAGAAAACAGCAGATCACGAACCAGGTTTTGTCTCCTTTCATTGGTTTTTGACATATATGCAAAATGCGGAAATGATAAAAGAAAGAGGGTTTTCATTTTATAAAATGCATATCTGACTCTTTTTTTGATGCTTTCGAAAATGTAAAAAGGCATTTTTATGTTAACATGGTAAAAATCTCTCGTTAAGATTAGAATAAAAAATTACATGCTATTCTAATGGCATTTCATTTTTCAAACTTTTAACCCTTGAACCAATCTTTGATTTACGTACAGTATTCGTCGTCTATATTAATACAATGAAGATGACTTTCGATTCCTTTTTTGATTTCTAACAATTTAACAGCATGGAGCATAATTATGAAAACAAAGTAATTAAATAATCAAACACAACAGCTTTTCTTTAATAACTTGTAAACTTGTGATTCGAAAAAGCTTGTTAACAATCAAAACTTATATAATAAATCGTCTTCATTGTATTGATATAAACGCCGAAAAGCCTGACACCTACTCTACAGGAAAGGGAGGTAAGCGGGACGGAGGAGAAACCCCTGACACTCAACCTCAACCTGGTCCAACACCTTACTCTCACAGAGTTCAATTCTATCCCGAAATATATGAAGGTAGTTCAATATTTCCTTTCCGTTTACAAGGGTAAATTTTTCGGAATGGTTTTTAATGTTTTTTGAGGGGGGGGATGGAAAAAATGTACAATGTACATTATCGCACATGTCTTTTTTTCCTCTTAAGATCTGTTTTAATCATGCATATAAATGCATGCGAATATTCTTGTGCACATTTGGGCGACAAGAAGATAAAAAAAGTAAATATTATATTTTAAGTTTGTGAAAGTACTTCTTCCCTTCCCAAATTTAGAATTTTGTCCTTTAAAAGGTTCCTTTAGTCCAGGGGAGGGAAGGGAGTACACTGTCAGTCTCCAGGACGATATCAATAATTGTTTGATTTGATTGTAGGGTCGTGTACAATATGAAACACTGGGAACTGCAGTAGAAGAGATAAACTCTGCTCTTCACTTCAAATATACATTTACTGCTAGGAAATTCAGCTCCCTGAAAGGTATCAATATGTTTTAAAGAATGAGACTTTTTCTGCCTTTAGTAAATTCTTGTCATGGCAAATAAAGTGATTATTCATTGCTGCGTGGAACAATGAATAATGAAAAACAAATCGAGTGATGCGCAAGTTCATTTTGATTTATTGTTTGTATTGAGTCTGATAAGCTGAAACGATTGGTTTCATTATTGCTTTCTGACATTTTTTTTAAAAAGTCCAAAAAGATCAGATTTTCATACGACACCGTTTGTTGGCATGGTTGGTCACAGAATATTCTTGCGCACAGTTTTATTTTTACATTTTGTTTTTGGAACTAAAAACCAGCAGACAAGACGATATTAGTTTAGATTTCTACATTTAGAAATCTGCGATAAGAAAAGATGGAAACTGTACAAATCCCAGGAGTCCCCCGCCACCAGAGGAGTTCATTTCATTACAGCAGACGAACTAAAGGTAGGAAATATAGGAGTCTCCCGCCACCAGAGGAGTTCATTTCATTACAGCAGACGAACTAAAGGTAGGAAATTTAGGAGTCTCCCGCCACCAGAGGAGTTCATTTCATTACAGCAGACGAACTAAAGGTAGGAAATATAGGAGTCCCCCGCTACCAGAGGAGTTCATTTCTTAGCAGTTGAAGAACTAAAGTCTCCCGCCACTAGCAAACGAACGAAAGAAAAGTAGGAACTACCGGGGATAATAAGATATTTCTGTATCTTTTTTTAGGAGGGAAATTTCTTTAATTAATTTCGAATAATGAAATATTCAAGTAAAAACGATTATGGCACTGACATTTTATCCAACGATTTGTTTGTAAACTGGCTGACCTGATTATTGTTCTTTAAAAAGACTGTGCGCGTAGGTTCAAGTGACCCTCCATGCATTGCAGCTGTATCCTTGAAACCTTTTACTCTGATCAAAAATGTGGAAGATACAGAGCGTCCCATATCATATTAGACTTTCTCCAATCTTTAACGCCAAATTACACATATAATACTCGAAAAATCTAGCATTTTCTGCAAAAAAAATCTATTAGCCTTTTTAAATTTTTCAAAATGATTCATTCTTCTTAAATTTTCTGATTTGTCCCCCAAATCTTAATTTAGACCCATTGACGCGGTCTAATTTGTTGTGGTACACCCTGTACAATCGTTTTTCAGATTCGAAAAGTAGTCATTCCTGAGAGTTTCTCCATTGCTTCTTATAAACAAGAAACCTCAAATTAAATTAAACAGTTTAAAGAAACAAAAACATTGATAACTAATTCAAACTTGATTATAAAAAGCTTTCAAGGGTACCATTGTAAATCGGGCATTGCCATCTTCGCATCGAGCGTCACTTGAACTTACGCTTACACGCTTACGGTTCCTTTGTCATTTTGCTCTCTTTAAAAGTCGTTTTTTTAAGAAGTAAGGAATGTTAGCGGATAGTGCCAAACCTTTTATTAATATGTTGTATGGCTGTAATGGGTAATATAAATACCTTTAAGGGGTAAGAATGTCTTCTCTAAACAAAAAAGATTTTTTGTTCAAAAAGTGCAAAAAGTGAGGGAAATGCTTGTGTCTGGGGTGAGTATTATTTCATCAAAAAGAGTGAACAAATTTTGTATTTCACTGAAAGCTGCAAAATAGCCGTAAAATCCTGATCCCAATCCAATTTTGGAAAGATTCAGGGTGGCCAAAATGTACGGATTGTACGGATTGTACGGATTGATTTTTTTTAAACCCTAAAATTGTACGGATTGTACGGATTGCACGGATTGTACGGATTTGTTTTCAAATTGTACGGATTGTACGGATTTTATCCTGGAAAATACACCGTTTTTTTTAATTTTCACTCATTTCAGACCAGTATCCTGTATCCAGTATCCTGTATCCTGTATCCTGTATCATGTACCCTGTATCATGTATCCAGTATCCAGTATCATGTACCCACCCAGTATTTAGTTTGTATATATGTATGAAGCCAATTTTTTACAGATTGATTCTTGCTGAAGAAGTTTAAACCCTCTTACATGAACTGAACACAAAAGACAATGAATGAAAAATTGAATTTTAATGCGTTTTTTTTTCAAAAATGGGATTTTTTTCGAAAATTGTGCTGATTGTACAGATTTTTAAAAAAAATGTACGGATCTTTAAAAAAATGTACGGATTGGTTTAAAAAAATGTACGGATTGTACGGATTTTTTTTAAAAAAATTGTACGGATTGTACGGATTGTTTTTTGAAAATTGTACGGATTGTACGGATTTCTTCTGAAAATGTACGGATTTTTGTACGGATGGGTTCAAAAAAGTTTTGGCCACCCTGAAGATTCCCTTTTTTAACATATTTTGCCACCACCCTGTATATTTAGTTCCGCCTGAATTTGACGAATCTATTTGTCTGTTTCATGTTGGCAGATTGTTTTTGTAGTTTACTTCTCTTCGGATATTATCAATCAGAATATTCATCAATAGTTAGTTCCTTTGTAACCAGGCCAGCGGATATACAATATAAAGGGTTACCTACAAAAGATGAGATTGAATAGACGACATTTGACAATTCCGAGGTTCAAGTAAGGGTTCGTTTTTTATGGCTTTTTCAATGATAAGGCCAAAAAAAGGAAAGAAGTTCATAGTTGCAGGGAATCATAAATATAAGGAAATCGTCTTTTGAAGTATCATCCTTTGTTAGTAACCCTGTAGTTTATATACAGGCAAATACGATGTATATCAAACTCAACTTGACAGAAAGAGAAGGTACACGACTTTATTGGCACAACTTTGTGACCTAGTAGCTCCTCTAGTTATGATTTTACGCACAAGTATAAGAAAAGAAAATATTTGGTTACATGGTAGAAATTAAAAACCTTTTTATCTTTTCAACAAGAGGAGTTATGATAGAAAACAAGTGAGATTTGAATGTAACGTGAATATTTTACATAAGTGATAATTATTTTCTACTTTATCTTAAAGTTCATAGAAATATTCTAGTATTATTTTTGAATTATTTGTCTTGTTTTGGCTTATATTGTCGTAAACTAGATAGAAAATCAAATAATACCAATCGATTCATAATTTATTTATAGTTTTTCTTAAATAAAAACTAGTTTACGTACCCGTCTTGGTCCGTGCCCACTGCTCATCATCAGTATTTATTTTGTACGGATGCCCATTGTGTGGCTTAATTTGCCTCTTAGTCTTAAATTTTTCATTGCAAAAATCGGGGTTTTTTTCTTTTACAGCTCTTTACAATTAGTCTATTTCAAATGTTTACACATTTTTGATCAGGGGTAAATATTTTTATGGGGAAAATAAATAAATTTTTATGTAAAAGCGTCCAAAAATAATGAAAAATTGACCTTTTGATGTCCATTTTTTCCATTTTTTCAAATCATCAAAAATCTTATATTCTGAAAAATATACACCCCTGTTCTTGATTCTAGGATAGTCCACTGCTGAAGTCTGAGGTGACTCGGAGGAATCTATTTACCATTTTCAGACATTTCAAGAAAATCAGGGAGATAAGAGGACCAGGTCAAATCTATATATAATATATATGTTCTATCATAACTCATGAGTCCATTGACCGATTTGCTTCTAATTTATATTTGTAGAACTCGGTAGAACCTTGGGAATGTTGATATCCTGGTTTAAAAATTCTAAATTGAGTGAGTTGACTTAAATTTCGCATCCACAGTCCAAACGAACAGATTTTTAAATTCATCTTTTCTTTTCTATGTAATTTTTACCTGTTACGCATTTTTACGCAAAAACTGTGTTACTGCGTGTTTCAGTGAGCTGACTGTTTATTTATAAGCCCTCCTTGTTTACAACTAGTTTTTCATAATATTGACGATAGACGTCGGATTGTTAAATGTTTATGTTTACGTCGTGTGACGAAAACCCGAAAGACGGGTCTTTCAACAGGAGGTTCAGTGAATTGTGAAGAGTACAATTTTTTAAGGGNATTGGGTACCGTGATTTAGGGCGGTAAATGGAAAATAAGATGAAAAGTAAACAAAGGAACAGAAAACTAAACCTCCCGAGGACTGATCTTTCTTTAGTTATTTATCGACTTTCACGGATGAATGATAAAACTTGAAAATATGGCAGGGTGTGACAAAATAAATCTAAAATGCCATAAGATTTCGGGATTTTATCGATATTTTAAGTTAGTGGCATATAACAAATTAAGCCAAAAGCACGGAGTTCCTGGAGATTTTTTGTTGTCTCAAAGGGACTGTCTTTGTAGTTTAAGTTGTCTTACTGACAGTGGTTCCCTTTAAATCGTTATTAGTAATACGCAGAAATGCAGAAATGTGGAAGATATCCTGATTTTTCTACATTGAAATTTGTTTGACTCTAACAATTTCCTCCAATTGTTTCTGAAGCAAATATCCGCAGGTCTTTTTTTAGAGAAACCACAAAAAGACTAATTATCAATTGTCAACGACTAAATTTTGGATATCTCATTCATTCTTGATCAGACAACGTTTTTGTGAATGAGATATGGCAATGTTCATGGTACTTCTACCAGACCTTGGAGAATATCCCTTATGGTTTAAATGGCTCTAAATCTAAAATTCTCCTGTTTTTGTATAACTCCTGAATCCTGGATCCGGATCCAGGTCCTGAACATGTACGTCTTTAAGATGAACTGATTTTTTAAACAACTGACAAGTTTTCAAACATGTTTCCTTCTTTTTGCGCTGAAATTTTTTAAAAATATATTAGTAGTTAACAGTTTTAATAAGTGTTTTGAGAGCAAAATGTTGCGGATCCTAAGAACTGCTCCTGAAACACCCTTTTAAATAATATTTTGATGTTTAGGTAGTATTGTGAGATTTGCTTCGGCCTAATAGAATCTGCACATGTATGGGACAGCTATTGCTATTTCTAAAAAGACGACCCGCCATCTGATGAAGTATGGGTGCTTCTCTCTGACCTAAAACTACATCTATCCAGAATAAAAAACTACATTTTACATAATTAATTTAATGCAATCTAACAATTAGATTTTTCCCAACCACGATTCCTGTCACCTTCAAATACATTTTTTCGTAAAGCTCTTAGATTTTTAATTAAAGTTTAATACATTTCTATTTCAGAAAAATCTATGTAGATGCTTTGAATATTTGTTACTGAGCAAAGGAGCGAACACCAAAGAGTGAATATTAATGACTGAAGAGTGAGTGAACACTCAATAATAAAAACTGAACACTAAAGTGAAAACTGAACACTAAAGTGAAAACTGAACACTAAAGAGTGAGTGAACACTAAAGTTAAAACTGAACACTGTAGAGTGAGAAGTGAAAAGTATACTCCAGAATGAATACTTCCCGGGATAATGTGACCGGATCAGCTGGTAAAACGAGCAGCTTGAAACCAAACTATGTTCTTAAGTTTACTCTCGCTGGTCATACTAAGGCGGTCAGTTCTGTCAAGTTCAGTCCTAGTGGGGAGTGGTTAGCCAGCAGCTCAGCAGATAAGCTAATCAAGGTCGGTCATAGATTTTATACTGGCTAATACTAGTTTATATAGTGGTTACTGGTTAGTTCTAGTTTATATAGTGGTTAGTTCTAGCTTATATAGTGGTTAGTTCTAGTTTATATAGTGGTTAGTTCTAGTTTATATAGTGGTTAGTTCTAGCTTATTTATAGTGGTTAGTTCTAGTTTATTTATAGTGGTTAGTTCTAGTTTATTTATAGTGGTTAGTTCTAGTTTATTTATAGTGGTTAGTTCTAGCTTATATGGTGGTTAGTTCTAGTTTATATAGTGGTTAGTTCTAGTTTATATAGTGGTTAGTTCTTGTTTACATAGTGGTTAGTTCCAGTTTTGTAGTGGTTAGTGGATACTTCTAGCTTATAAAGTGGTTAGTTCTAGTTTATATAGTGCAGTGGTTAGTTCTAGTTTATATAGTGCAGTGGTTAGTTCTAGTTTATAAAGTGGTAGTGGTTAGTTCTAGTTTATATAGTGGTTAGTTCTAGTTTATATAGTGGTTAGTTCTAGTTTATATAGTGGTTAGTTCTAGTTTATATAGTGGTTAGTTCTAGTTTATATAGTGCAGTGGTTAGTTCTGGCTTTTAAAGAACTTATTCTACGCCGTTTAAACTAGAAAACAATTCTTATTTATTGCGTAGGTTTGGAATGCGTACGATGGAAAGTTTGAGAAGACTATTTCTGGACACAAGCTGGGTATATCTGATGTAGCCTGGAGTAGTGATAGTAGACTTCTAGTCTCAGCTAGTGATGATAAAACTCTCAAGATCTGGGAATTCAGGTAAAATATTTGAAGTTTCTACCTGAGATATTTAAATTCTTACACTACTTTCAGTGGAGAGGACCAATGTTTATTTGCCAAAATCCGTATTTTTTAGAAAACAATTTTATATATTTCAACGGCTAAGACCTGATAAAAAAAGGATTTTTGACAAATACTCGTAAAATGAAGGGGTTTTTTTTACAAAATTATTTCATGTTTAGCTCTGGAAAATGTCTGAAGACCTTAAAAGGGCACTCGAACTACGCATTCTGCTGCAACTTCAATCCACAATCCAACCTCGTTGTTTCCGGATCATTCGACGAGTCCGTCAGGATCTGGGATGTAAGAACAGGTTGGAAATATGAAATTTCAAGAACTTTCCCCTCTCCCAGCCACCCTGGTCCCCAATTCGCTCGGGGCTGCTGGGCGTTCAATGTTTTTATTTTGAGAAAGAAAATTAGTTATCACTAAAACGCATTTCAGATTTTGACTTTTTTCTTAAGTAGTCCTTTAAATTCCCTCCTTTAACATGTTTTATAAATTACACAAAAAGCACGTTTTTTTATTTTTTACTTAATATAAATTTTCGACTTCTTGTTTAGATTCTAAGAGCATTTATTTATTTGCTGTTATTAATTTTTATCGTACTTTCCCTCTCCAACTAAACTTGACTTCTACGTTAGAACTTAAACGTTAAAAGATTTATCTTAGGAAAATGTTTAAAAACGCTTCCCGCACACTCTGATCCAGTCAGTGCAGTTCACTTCAACCGAGATGGAAGTTTGATTGTATCCAGTAGCTACGATGGACTTTGTAGGATATGGGATACAGCCTCAGGTACTAAACTTAATATCCAGTGGTCAGGATATTTTATCAGGTACTAGTCTGTATCCTTTTTTCAGGATATTGTATCAGGAACTAGTCAGTATCCTGTAGTTAGGATATGTATCAGGTTCTAGTCTGTATCCAGTGTTTAGGATATTGTATCAAGTACTAGTCTGTATCCTGCAGTCAGGTTATTGTATCAGGTTCTAGTCTTTATCTTTTATTTAGGATATTGTATCATCAGGTACTAGTTATCCTGTAGTAGTCTGTATCTAGTAGTTAGGATATTGTATCATGTACTAGTCTGTATTCTGTAGTAGTCTTTATCTAGTAGTTAGGATATTGTATCGGGTACTGGTCTGTATGCAGTAGTTCGGATATTGTATTAGGTTCTGCACTGTATCCAGTAGTTGGAATATTGTATCAGGTACTAATTTGTATCCTCTAGTATTCTTTAACTAGTAGTTAGGATAATGTATTAGGTACTAGTCTGATACCTTGTAGACATGATATTGTATCAGGTTCTTTTCTGTATCCTGTAGTTAGGATTTTGTATCAGGTTCTAGTCTGTATCCTATAGTTAGGATATTACATCAGGTTCTAGACTGTATCCAGTAGTAGGGATATTGTATCAGGTACTAATCTGTATCCTGTAGTAGTCTGTATCAGTAGTTAGGATAATGTATCAGGTTCTGGTCTGTATCCTGTAGTCAGGGTATTGTATCAGGTACTAGACTGTATTCAATAGTTAAAATATTGTATCAGGTTCTAGTCTGTATCTAGTGGTTAGAATATTGTATCAGGTTCTAGTCTGTATTTAGTACTTAGAATATTGTATCAGGTTCTAGTCTGTATCTAGTGGTTGGAATATTGTATCCAGTAGACAGAGGCTGAAATATAGATAAATGAAAAAAACTAATAAATAAATAATTTAGGTCAATGTTTGAAGACTCTGATAGACGATGATAATCCTCCAGTCAGCTTTGTCAAGTTCTCTCCTAATGGTGAGAAATAAAACAGAAAATAGATAAGAATACAGATAATACAGGGTTACCAAAACCAGAGAGACGACTGTACGAGATCTCAGAAGTCTTTTCCCTTGCATTTGATAAACATGTTTAAGGCAAAAGACCAAACCTAACCCTCAATTCATTCTATTTAAAGATATTATTGTCGTCTTTAAAGTCTCATCCTTTGTTGGTAAACCTGTATAGTGTATATCAATTTTAAAGTAAAGAGAGTGAAATGAAACAGGAAAGAACGCTTGTCTACGTAAGTTATCTAAACTATTTGCGATCCAGATGTTTAAGAAACTATGATGATTATAATTGACAACCTTGGTATGGGCTTCTTTAGAAACAAGCTGGTGAATTTCTACATAAAAAAAAAAAATTAACCCACGTGACAGGTCCAGGTTCAGCCGTTATAGTATTTGTTAAGAGAGAGAACAAAATCATTCAACAAGGAAAAATGGAAGAAAAAAATTTAATTTCCCAAATTGTCTAGGTAAATATATCCTGGCGGCCACTCTGGACAACACCTTGAAGCTATGGGACTACAGCAAGGGAAAGTGCTTAAAGACTTACACCGGGCACAAGAACGAGAAGTACTGCGTATTTGCTAACTTCAGTGTCACAGGTTAAAAGATTATTAAAAGCAAGCATTAAGTTGCAATTTTATTTCCTTCAAATAATACGGATGCTGTTTTTTGAAATGAATGAACCCTGTCGCGGCTGTGCTAAATTCCCCGGATTAGGGCTGAAAATCTACCAAATTACAATCTAGAAATATAAAGGCATATTTTGAAAATTAAAGTTTTTTAAACATTAAAAAATCTAATATTATTTATCAGGCGGTAAATGGATAGTGAGTGGAAGCGAGGACAACCAAGTATATATATGGAATCTACAGACTAAAGAAATCGTTCAGAAACTTGCAGGAATTTTATCAATCAATCAATCAATACACTTGGCTTGCACTAAAATCCAAGATTTTAAACCGTATTCACACTTTTCAGTTTCCTGAATCCGAATCCACATTCTCATCGGATCTGGATTAATATAAAAGAGGGGTGAGGGGGGGGGTATTGAAAGTTCTATTTTTTTTCGAAAGTAGAGATCAAGACTGCATTCTCTGCATCAATGAATCCAAAGCAAAACTATATCTGTTATCTATTGACTAAACCTTATGAAATGCCAACTTGATCATTTTTATAATGTATGGTTTCAGGTATAAATTGCCGGGTCAGTCATAGAGTAAAATTGGTAAATTAGCTTTTTATACATTTATAATTGGCATTTTTCAACTGTTAATGACATGTTTTATCTACACTGGCAAAATGTTCTTGAAAATTGGCAGATTTAATGACAGGGAATCAATAGACGACTTCAAAATCGTCTTCAATATCCGAAAATTGGTAAATTACGAGGAGTTTATTAATAAAAATAATCTTATCAGCTTTCCTAAAAATGGTCTTCCTTTATGTATCTTAAGAATTGACCAGATATTAAGCATTTTAACAATTTTGTTGTTTTTTATAAATTGTACTCTGGACAATTTTCTCCGCCACTTATGAATGGCAGCCCGTAATTTGGAAATCCTGCGACTAGAAGTTTTGGTATTAAATGTTTTAAAATTAGGATATTACTAAAATTGTGTTCACGAAAAAATGGCACGTAGAACAACACTCAATTTACATGTTTATTGGGACACCCTGTATCTTAATTGGAAAAAAAATTAAACTGACACATGGTAGGTCAGTTAGGTCAGATGACCTTACCAGTGACCACTGTCCAATCATTTATTGGAAGGTACCATATTTTTTCTTCGGATTTGCTTTTTCTATTTTTAATTGACGAAGAAATTCTAATTTCTGAAGGTAGTTGATTGATTGATATTATTAGGACACACTGATGTTGTATTGTGTACTGCATGTCACCCAACTGAGAATATAATTGCCTCTGCCAGCCTCGAGAACGATAAGACCATTAAACTCTGGAGATCGGACACATAAACTGATCGTATTGTACTGTACAGTGTATATAAATTGTACTGTGTACACGGTACATGCTGTGTTTTTGATGTATTAAATAGAATAATGTGTTCTGTAAACAGTTTAATAAACGGTGTGTGGGGGGAGGATTTCAGTAGAATTAACTTTAATGTTAATGCAATAAATCTTAAAATTAAGTATTTATTGAACTGGTTTCATATTTGCTAATGCTAGTAAAAATGAATGAACTAGAACCCAGCCAAAAAACTACCAGTTTTTATCTTAAATCTTTCTTGGTTGCGCACCCTAACAAATACTGGAGAATACGCTCTTCATATATTTTTAAGATAAGATAATAAGTGTGCTGATGATGTGTACACAGAAATATGATCATGTTTGTACAACTTTCCTTGTACTGCACGGTCGATCCATTGTATTCTATTGTGAAAACTTAATTACAATAATTGTCTAGTAAAAATCGTAAAAATAAAATTCTCTATATGTACAGTTTACACACAGCCTCAGTATTTATTTACTTCAATTGAAAACTCTTTTTAATGTGATTTCTTATCCAAGGCTAATTTAGAAATTTCTAGAAAAAATCAAATGCTGGGATGTTTTTGTATATTTCTTTCTATTTTCCCCAACCTTGTTTTAAAACCTTTTCTCAATCTCAGAATAGATGTCCACATTACAGAAATCTTAACAAAATTGTATGACTTTGTTCAAATATTACATTTTTCAATTTTATTCCCCCACGGACATAATTAATTACTGTTCTCCAAACCTCTCCGCATGTAATTATAAGATTTTAAAATAAATAAAGTTCTCGTCCATGTTTCTATTGTAGATTTCTTATAAATTTTTCGGATGCCATAATTTTTCCGTATTAAGGCCTTGATTTTTTTAAGCAAACTCCATCTATATAATATACTAGCTTCGAAACCAAACTTTGCCTTGAAATCTGAACTTTCCATATAAAAAATTAACCAACTCGACTTAGAATTTTGAAACCAGGCTAAGTTGCTAAGAACATTTCTGTGGTTCTACCGAGTTTTGTAACTAATCCAACCTCGAGTTCAACTTGTTCAACTCGGTGTCCGTTAAAATCTCCGTTTAAATACGCATAGCTCCGACGTCGTTAAAAAATAGATTTCTCTGCGGCGCAACTTGATTTGAAAAATATAGATTTTTATATTTGATAAATATTAACATTCATTTATCAAGGGCTTTATAAATAAGTAAATTCTAGAACTGTAGTTTGAATAATTAAAAAGTTATTGGACTATTTTTGATTTATTTTTGAAACACCATTAGACCGTTCTATATCCTACCAAACTAACATTTTCGCATTTTTTTGGTTCGCTGGAAACCCGGTCCTATGCAGAAAAAAATATGCACACAAACTAGGCCAAAACGTTATCTATAAAATGGGAAGTTCTTTCAGTAAAAGTGATTTGTAAGTGTACTGCAATCTCACATGTAAACACATGTACAGCTTGCTCTCTGATTGAAAGTAAGCCTGGTACTTAAGATGAACTGTCAAAATACGGCCAGAAATAGTCTTTTCGATGCAATTTTTACTGATATTACTTCAAAAAGACTTTTTAGGCAGTAATTAGGCAATTATATTATCAGGGGTGTCAAACTTGAAGGCTCTTTGTCAGAATAGTTAAGACTTAGAAGAGCTTCTTTATTCACTACTTGCCTATCCAGAGGAAATTCCTCTGGACGAGGTAGAGAAAATAGCTTCTTGGTCATTTCCCCTCTGTTAGGATATTCTTCATCAGCCAAAGCAAAAACAACTACTGCTGGATCCAGATACCAACTGGGTCGAAGTAAGGATGTTATTGTTGTTGATGCAGATTGCAGAGTCTAGGTTAAACTCCTTAAATCTGCTCATCTGCCAGAGAGCTTTAATATCCTGAAGTACATTCATTTGTGTGAAAAACTTATAAGGTTAAACAAATCTATGGATTAAATGTTCTAAACTTCAAATGAGAAATGATTGTGAACTACAAAAAAATGAAATAATGATGAGTGCAAGGTAGATAGTTTATAATTTTTAAAAACCTTCAAGAGGAAGCTGTTTCTTATAATTAAAATTCTAAGTTAAATTTTTACCTGAGCTGGAGCTATGTTGGATGTTTCAGCTCTCAAGAACTATTCTGCATAAAACAGACTGATAAATGTAGCCATCTCTGTGACCTCTCTCTTATCATTTGTTAAGCCAGGAACATGTTCAATCAGTAGAAATATCTTCAAGAAGTATATGGCCTTAGCCAGAAACCGGGCATTGTGAAGGGCTCCAGGTATATGTAGCTTGAACCTAATATCCACTGACAAGACCATTACTACTAGTTCTGCAAGTTCTTTATAGTCCCTACGCTTCCATTTCCCTTCCTGATCAACAATTTTTATGATAATTTGCTGTTAAATTAAATGTTAATTGTTAAGTGGATTAAAATAAATTTCTGAGATGATATAAGTAAATGTACCCGGTTCATCACATTGAAGTTGATAATATTTTTGGCAAATTGCAAAGCTTCTGATTTCGCCTCAGATAGAAAGGAGCCAGGGTGTATGACAAGTTTGTTAAGTGAAGTTTCTAGGCCAGTATCTATGTGGTTCCATTGGGTTTTCAACTTTTTAAACAATTGATTATCAGGACCAGTGGTCTTACTTCCAGGATAATTCTTCCAAAAATGAACTACATGACGTTCATTAACATGGTGCCTACACCCAAGATGAAGAATTGGGTTCTGAATTTGATGCAGTTGTATCAAAACACATGAATTTAATCTTATCCATTAGATTATACTGCTCCAGAAGTGATTTCATTAGCTCTACTTGGGCTTCACCAGTACCAGCATCATTGCCAGGGATTCCAAGGAGCTCTGTCTGATTATCAATCCTCGCTGAAATTGCAATCCTGTCCTGTTTTAGGCGTTTTCCATCTGTTAGTTCTTGAACTAACTTTCCATCACAGTACAGACCAATTGGAAAGTTAGTGGAGTCAAGAAGAAAATACAAATTTTTCGGTTTTTTTTGGAAAATCTACATTTTTAATATTTTATTTTTAATAATAGGGTTTAGATATCAAGAAGAGTGGTTTTTTATATGTTAGTATACATCATGTAGATAACAGAGGAAGAAAAAAAAGAAGATTGCTTGTTGTCTAAGGTCCCTGCTCAGGCTTTAAAAAATTGTAAAAATCGCAAAAAAACGGCCGTTTTTTAAACTTAAAGCCCCGAGCAGGTACCCTTAAGCTCGTCAAAAATAAAAAATAAAAATATTTTGTTTAACAAACCTGTCCTTGGGCGCCACATGAGCGACCACTCTTATCTGTACCAAAAGTTAACTGATTTTGACATAGGCTAGGTACAGTATTAGATACGTAAACATATCGTGATGTATACAACCGACCACTCTATTAGTAAATTAATAGGGAGGTCGGTCGTGTAAATTTGAGCTAAGCTTCACCTCTTCGTTTTATCACTCTATGATTAGTTCCCTGCATTCATAAATTCTAAGCTTAACACTAACTCTTATCAGTAAATCATAAAGATCTAACTTAAACAAATTTACAAAGAAGTTAATCTTAACAAAATTAATTACGCCGAATTGTTAACTAAACTTGATAAATTGGATTAATATTGTTATAAATTAAGTTTTTTTATTTATTTTTTATTTTCTTGAACTTAGAATAAGTTTAACCCATGTGCTTTTAATCTTCCAACTCACTACTGCGCACCTACAAAAGTTTTCATTCTGAAATCAATCTTTTATGTGGCCTATTGCTTAAATATTTGGATTTGTGTCATCTATAAAAATTGCACGTATATTGACGGACTGTTAAGTACTGTCCTGAAAGTTGAATGTTCTGATATCACCAGTATTATTTTTAATTTTTTCAACCCATTGCTCATTCATTTTAGTTTTAGTTTAATTTTAACTGACCCTCCAGCAAAGGGACAAAGGGACTGTAAGCGTAATTTTAAGGGACTTTATGAAAATGTCTGATTTACAAGAGTACCCTTGAAACCTTAATCTGATCAAAAATGTGAAAGACAACGTTGTTCTCCTGAGTCGAAAAGTGTTAATTTTTGCGCGTTTTAAATCGGGAATTGCCATTTGCAATTTTTTCATGGAGGGCCACTTGATTACGCTTTACAGGCTTTACATAAGCACCTGATACATAACAATATACGTTCAAAACGTTTTTTAGTAACAATGATACCCTGGATGCGCTCAAATGTACTAGGAAGGTCGTTTTCCACTTGAAGTTGCCAATTAATCTTTCGGCAATAATTAGTTACGTCATATGAGGATTTTGATTGTCCATTGTTATGAAGACGACATTTCTAGTGAATTGGAGCGCATCCAGAGTACCTTATCTTTTTATACAACCTTGCTCCCAAAATTGCTCATTTTGTGATAAAATTTTGCTTTTATTTGTATTATTGCCGTTTTGAGTATTCTTGCCATGCACTGTATTAGATTAGCTAATATTATTTTACTGTTGTATTTTCAGATAAATCGATGTAAAGAAAATGTAAATATTTCCTGTTTATGTAATTAGATCTTCCCGAGAGATACAACGATACAGGTTATCTACGTTTCTAGAATGTAATTTTTATGTTTTTTTTAGTTTTCTGGCCCAATTTGGTGTTTATCTGATTTTCAAAATTACCTTGAAATTTTATTTAAATCCTAACTGGGGCTAAATGAGGTGTCATAAAAGTGTCATTTTGATGTTTTTAAGCGCAGCGCACAGAAATACGATTTTTACAAATGTAAAGAAAACTTTTGAGAGAAATTTTTCCGGTTTACATAACGTAAACCGTAAAATTTCCAGTTTCCATTTCGTAGACCATAGGGAATAGGAATAAAGGGAAGGGAAATATGGCGCTGGTTTGGCATGAGAAAGCCTGTTGCACTGCTTTGCAGACGAGTTCGGTATTCCTTACACACACTCTTTTGGTACAGACACACAACATGACTACGTCAAGGAAAGACATAGAAAGCAATGTTAAAACTTATTAATTGACATATATTAAATACGCATTCTATTCCATAATATATTCACAAATTGTTTACTATAGTTCATCATGACTATTTTACAGTTAGAGTTTTCACTTCCCTAAAATATTTTTGACAAATTATTTTTGTTGTTTTTTTTCAAGAGGGTCATCGGATAGACTTATGCCCCACCCTCCCCCTCCGTATTTGATCAGGATGGGATGAAATGAACCATATAAATAAGAGTTTATAAAAACTAGGCTTTAAATTGCCGTATTATAAAAAATTCGACATTTTTTCCTGCACAAATTTTTAAACCAGTTTTAAACCTTCCCTTGGGCCATGTGAGTTGCCTCATGGAAATGTTGGACTCGGTCGGTTCAACTGTTTTGACGTTTCTTGGATACAAACGGACAAACAAACAGACGAGCAAAGTATATAAATAGAGTGAGAACCAGAAAACTCTGGAATAGGAGGACGACTTTTAGAC